CTTATTTTCTAAAATATTTTATACCCGCACACGGTGCGGGACGATCACCTAGTTTTGATTATAAAACGAATATCACAATCCACAAAAATTGTTTTTTTTTTTTTTGAAACTTATCCACAAAAATTGTTGGAATTCTTTTTGTCTATTATAGATATTTTAAGTGGCAAGAATATATGGCTTTTGAGTTTTGACATGTTTATAGAGTTTATATGAGTTCGGGCCATAATTACTTCAATTACCAAAAAATCTAAAACTGTTTTTCTCATTCGCTATGCTCGGAATATAGGACGAATCATCCTGAAATAAAACCAACACTAACATTTTATTCGCCAACAGAATACTAAGTGGGAAACAGAATAGATAAATTTAACAAAAAAAGTGGACCTACAAATTTCTCTATATATTCATCCCAACCCCTCCCCCTAAAATTCCAAACAACACTCATCTTTCACCAACTTCTTTTAGCCATTTATCATCTCTTTGTTTCTATTTTCATCTCTTTTCATATATAAATTATATCTTCTCCAAACAAAAATCTATAATTTTTTTCTTTTTTTTCTAAAAAATCTATAAATTTCCTTGTGGTTTTTCTATATTAATCGAACATGTCGCTAGATGGATCGGGACTGGCTATGGCAGAGGTTTATACGGCGAGGAAGTTTCATAGAGAGAAGATGAAGAGTTTAACGGCAAACACAACCACAACTGCCGGTGTGAACAGTGGAAGATCCGGCAGGTGGTTCTTCGGAAAGCTGATCACCAAGAAAACCTCTGCTAAAGTTTGTGATCTTATAAATATAGAATAATATAAGCTAAGATGGCCATGTCCAAAATTAATATAAGGAATAAAAGTTTTAGGCTTTTATATATATTATCTTATTTGTTATACTATATGTTTTGCTTTTGTTTCATAGTGTCTATCGTGTGATTCTATTTATGATTCTTTTAACAAAAAGTATATTTTGGTTAGAGTGGAGGTTTGTAAAGAAATGATATTTTCTTAAAGTCTAAAGCTCGTCCGACTTTATTTATGCTAAAAAAAATATGCACTCATATTCTCAAATCCCATGTTTTAAAGGGAAAATTGATGTAACTTGCAAGTTAATTGGGTAAAATATTTGAGTATATTATCTTTACTTATCTCCGACAAGGTCATTCTCAAAATTGCATGTGATCTTGAGATTTTTTTTTGTTTCATCCCTAGATAAAAAAATGAAGAGGCCGACGCTTTGTCAAAAGCAGCCTTAAATGTTGTACCAACAAACCGGTTTCAACCGGAGTATTGAATTTAACCAGTTTTTTTAGACCAAAAAAAAAACTCCGACAAAGTAAAATCATGTAATTTTCTCTTTTCCAAACGTTCAAAAATCAATTTTCAAACGTATTTCACATTAGCCATAG